TGTCTGTGGGGACAGATGCCATTCCCACAGCCAGTCCCACCCAAGCCCTCGCCACACAGGCTGGAGAGATGAGAGCTCCTGACCCTGGGCTGGCGGGAGCTGGGAGGTCCAGGCAGGGCATGAGACCTGTCACAGCTTGTGCTGCTTGTATGCCAGCAGCCTTGGGAAAATAAGGCAGTCCTCGTGCCTTAGTTTCCCTGTCGATACAGCAGAGCTAATACTTACCGGCATACTGCCCAGGGCATCGGGGTGCTCTGTTCCCAGGGGTGCCCATGGGTGCCGGCATCCTGCCTCCTCCTGTCTGCAGTGTATTGTTTGTCTCCAGCAGCAGCTGAGTCCGGGTACAAGGCCTGGGATTGTGCGGCACAAGGGCTCTTTCTCTCCTCCCTTCCCCTCCCCAGGCTTCCCCAGCACAGCTTCCCAAAGCCCAATGGGCCAGACCTGTGGCAGGGAGCCTGCCAGGTCCTGCCATGTACTGGGACCCACAGCCCCCTGGAGACAGAATCATTCACTGTGCCCCAGCCCCAGGTACCTGCCACACCCCTTCCCAAGTGACCAAAAATGAAAATAAAATAAGCATGTTTGGCCCAGCACCCCGCTGGGTGTGCAGGGCCGTCCCCATGGGTCCCAGAAAGGTTCAGGGAGCAGTGCTGGCCAGGAGGAGTGGGACCTCCCCTGGACCTGCTGCATCCAAGGCAAACAAGCAAGAGGGGTCCCAGTGATCCCCATAGTGCTGCCTTTGTTCCCTGTTTGCTCTCAGTATGGGCAGCCGCCAGCGTGGCAGTGCCAGGACAATCCCTCATTGTCCTTGGTGCCACTTCGCGACCTTGCTCCCAGCAGCGAGGGGAGGGCACTGCTGGCCAGGACCCCACAGCTTTCTTGTCCTTTGAGGGAGGAGATAAGCACTGTGGGACCTGTGGAGGGAGCGTGGGTTTGGGAACGCTTCCCACGGGTGCCTTTTTGGCATTCAAGGCACAGATGTTATGCCCAGACAGGATGTGCCCATGCCCCGGACAGTGGGGTGCCAGAGCCCGTGGCTTGGGGAAGGGGAGCAGCTTTCTTGCACAGAGGAGGATGCTGGTGGGTGCAAACCCACCTGGCTGCTTGCCCCCAAACCAGGCATGAGAGTGGCTGGCTGAGCCCCTCCAAACCCAGCCCATCGGGAACCTGAGCTAAGGATCCTGCATGTTAGAGCCCAGGCATGCAGAAGGAGCAGGTGCCCATAGCTTCACTGCTGAAAAAATCCAGCATTTAGG